GTCACGTTGTAGATGGGGGAGATGAGACGCGCGTTGTCCCCCTGCACCCGCGGAGAGGACGCCTCGATATACATGTAGTACCCTGGGAAGAGAGCCACACAAGCAACACAAGCTGTCACCTTCACCACCATCATCATCATCATCATTACCACCACCACTGCCACTGGTCTGGGGGTCACCAGTCTTGCCCGGTTCTCCCCCCTCGGCTTGCAGCAGAACCATGAACAACCCCACACTGAGGTCTCAGTGAATCTCCCACCCCCACAGGGATCCCGAGGGAGGAACGACACACAGAAGGGGAGACTCCTGAAGGGCACACTCTCGGAGATGGTGTCTGTGGCTTGGGCACTCCCCTCCATGCCAGGGCCCTACCTTCATCTGTGTTACTGCGGTCCTTAATGGGTCCGGTGTTGGCCGAGCGCTTGGGGTTTTGGGTCAGGTTGTTCTGTCGGATCCAGTCAAACTTGTCGTTCTGGTCCTGAGTGAAACCACACATCCTGTCATCCTCAAAACCACACACGCGCTCCGCTGGCCACGAGGAACCAGGAGAGAGAGAGAGGGAGAAGGAAAGGGTGGGAGAGGTGAGGTTCGGGACAGAGGAGGAAGAGGAGCGAGAGGGAGAGGGAGGAGGGAGGAGAGATAGGGATTAGGGCAGACAGGGAGGCCCGGAAGATGAGAGAGGGAGAGAGACAAAGAAAGAGAGGAGCATTACAAAGTGAAACACAGGCAGACTGAGAGAAGAATAAAGTGAACAGCCATAATTCATAGTAAGCCATGCAGTGTAATGACAGTTGACAGATTAAGGACACAGATTTTTGCATCGGCAGAATCTGGGCCTGCGATTTAACATTTCAGCCCATTTATAACCAGCATGCGTTGGAGTGGACATACAGTGACTAACTATGGGAATACAGATGAGTTCTTATTGCATGGCAGCTGTAAAAACCAATGCCAGATGTTTCTTGATTTTAACTTCCTGTATAAATTTGTTCAGCCAGATGAGAGCAATTAAACTTAAATTAAACACTAGGGATCCCATGGAGCTTTAACCAGTGAAGCCTTTGCATTCAGAATGCAGGCTGAGCTCTGTGAAGGAGACCCGCTTCATTTCTGTTAAATATAAATGTTTTCTGTTTAATCATTAAAATGTGTACCAGAGCCCTCAATCTAATTTAATGTACTACACAGGAAACTGCTGTGCAGCGATAACGGTGATAATAAAGATACTGATCATGATGGCCAAGATAGAGATGATGGCTCCGTTAAAGACAACAGCAGCAGGAGCAATTTAAGAAGAACAGACAGGTGTGTCTGGCTTACCTAAAGGTCCAGGGTAGTTGAAGGCTGTAAGAAAACAGACCAACTGTCAGTGTAAGACAATGAACTACAGATCACCCCCTAGCACAGAACCTCTCTTTGAAGAGCTGAGTGTCTCGCACAGATACCTGACTGAAACGCATCACAGCAGCAAACTAACCAAGTGAATGAACTCAGGGTGACCCCTGCATGAGAAAGTGCCAGCCATCTGTATCAGCAGCTCAAATACACAGGAGACCAGGTGCAAACCAGGGGAGTTTCTGAGCTCAGTAAGCTAGAGCACATGGTAGGCCAGGTTAGAAAAGGCAAGACTGCAGCTCAGTCAGGACAGGAGGGGCGGGACTCTGAGAGTCTCAGCTAGGGCCGAAGGGAAAGTGGAACTCACTGTCGGAGCATCTCCCGAACAAAACACTGGACACTCACATTGTCACAGAACTAGGCATGTTCACTACCAGAGAACTGGATACACTCACTGTCAAAGCACAGGACACACTCACTAATAGAACATTGAACACACACTGTCAGAGCAAAGGATATATTCACTATTAGAGCAATGAACACATTCACTATCAGAGAATTAGACACACACTATCAAAGCATAAGGTACACTTGCCATCAGAGCACAGAATACACCCACTATCAGAGCAGAGCACAAATTCACCATCAGAGCACTGAATGCACTCCACTGGACATATTTACTGTACAGTACACTCACTGTCAGAGTTCTGGAATCACTCACTTTCAGATCACTGGAAACATTCACTGTCAGAGCACTAAATATAATAACCATCAGAGCACTGGACCCATTCACTAACAAAGAAATAGAAACACTCCCAATAAGAGAACTGGACACATTCACCATCAGAGAACTGGAAAAACTCACAATAAGAGCAGAGGACACACTCACTGTCAAAATAGAGGACACAATCACCATCAGAGCACTGGACGGACACACTGTCAGAGAAATGGGCACATTCACTATCAGAGAATTGGACACACACCATCAGAGCAAATTACACACTCACCATCAGAGCACAGGACACACTACCAGAGCACTGGACACACTCGCCAAAAGCATAGGATACACTCACTGTCAGAGCACTTTACACACTCATTACCAGAGATTTATACAAACTCACCGTCAGAGCAGAGAACACACTCACCGTCAGAGCACTGGACAGGCACACTGTCAGAGCAATGGACACATTCACTATCAGAGAACTGGACACTCACCATTAAAGTTGAGGACACACTCGCCATTAGAGCACAGGATACACTCACTCCCAGAACACAGCTCACACACTCACCATAAGAGCACAAGACAATCAATTTCAGAACACTGGACGCACTGACTAACAGAGCACTGGAACACTCATTATCAGAGGACTTCACGCACTCACTATCACTGCATTGGGCACACTCATTACCAGTGCATTGGACACACTTACCTTCAGAGTACTGGATATTCCGGGTTGCACTGTCTCCCAGGCCATATGTGGTAATGGGAGTGAGCCGCACCTCGTAGGACAGTGGGATACGCAAGTCTTGAATTTTGTAGGAGAGCAGGCTGCCTTTCTGAGGCTCCTTCACCGTGATCTGCTTGGACAGCACTGTCTGCCTCTTCTGGATCTGACCGAGAGAAATGGACAATGACACAGTGAGCATCGCTAGATGCAGAAACTGAGACATTTGGAGGGAGTGGGTGCCTACCAGGAAGCCCCTTCACAGACCCTCACCTGACTGCTTATCCCTTCCACTAGCCTTTCACCTCTGGGAGCTGAAGGGAGACAGAAGAGACTGTTCAGGCCGGTGGAGCCCCTGCATGTCTGGCTTCTGTTCCAGTCCCAGTTGTTATCGATCACCTTGGTATTACACAGGGAGTGCACACGCACACCCTGATTTTCACACTCACACATGTACACTAACTGCGCACTGACATCCACACTCACACACTAAGCCTTACACACATACATGACACATTCACACACGAACACTTATAGGAACACTCTCTCACACTGTTATTCACTCATACACTGACATTTACACACTCACATGGACATTTACACTCTCACTCTTACACAAACTCACATTCACGTACTCACACACTAGTATTCACACAATGACACACACCCACTTACACTGACACTCACACTAACATTGATACATTCACCCTCACACACTGGCAATCACACAGACACTGACATTCACACACTTAATCTGACAAACTCAGACACTGGTATTCACAGTAACATTCACACTCACCAACATTCACACTGACATTGACACAGTCACACTAACATTTACACACTCACACTTGCACAGACTGACGCTGACACTCACACACTCTTACAGTTTAAGCTCAAGGACGCTGTACACTGTATATAACGTGTTTGTCTGCTAGTTTGTCACTAGCACATGCACACAGAGAAATAGCTCCTAGTCACTGGAATGTGCATCAGAGCTGCCCCTTCAGTGTCAGAAACTCTTGTCCTCATTCTCTCTAATAGACCACTTTCTGACCCTGGTTCATCCCTGATTGCTGCTCCTGGGATATTTTTGAATACTGGAAGATCTTGGAAGGTCTGCTCTCTGTACTGCATTTCCTGTCCAAGCAGCATTTCTGAGTGTTTCTGCTCAACAGCAAAGTTAAAAAAGAAAAAAAAAGTCTGCCCTCACTGTCCCCTGTGGCATCAGGGGAAATCGACCAGAACACCTGTGGCTCCAGCCCTGGGTTACAGTGTAAGAGTATCTCTCCAGTCCCGGATTACAATGACAAAGTGTCTTTCCAGTCCCCGGCCACAGTGACAGACTGTCTCTCCAGTCCCGGATTATAATGACAGAGTGTCCTTCCAGTCCCAGGCCACAATGTCAAAGTGTCTCCCCAGTCCCGGATTACAATGAAAGAGTGTCTCTCCAGTCCCCGATTACAGTGAAAGAGTGTCTCCCCAGTCTCGGATTGCAATGTCAAAGTGTCTTTCCAGTCCTGGGCCACAGTGACAGAGTGTCTCCTCAGTCCCAGATCGCAATGTCATAGTGTCTCTCCAGTCCCAAATTATAATGACAGAGTGTCTCTCCAGTCCTGGATTATAATGACAGAGTGTCCTTCCAGTCCCAGGCCACAATGTCAAAGTGTCTCTCCAGTCCTGGATTACAATAACAGAGTGTCCTTCTAGTCCCCGATTATAATGACAGAGTGTCCTTCCAGTCCCAGGCCACAATGTCAAAGTGTCTCTCCAGTCCTGGATTATAATGACAGAGTGTCCTTCTAATCCTGGGTCCAGATCACAATGACAGTGTCTCTCCAGTCCTGGGACACAGTGACAGCCCTGGGCTGTCTGGTGAGTAAGTCAGACAGTAGCTCAGTGCCTGCAATGTTGGGAGCTGCAGTACCTCTGCTGCTGCCTTCTCTCCCATACACAGTCACCCGGGCTTCTGCACACAGAGCTTGAAATTAAACTATCACCTGACTGCTGTGTTCCCACCTCAGACCTTCATGTTTGAAGTCCCACTTATTAGGAGATATTATTCAGGACATGTGCAAACACAGGCCTGAGGGGATAATGTGATTCCCTGCCAGACAGGCTGCTGGACAAGCCCCAGGGAACTGTGTCCGGACTCTGCCTTGGGGAATCCTCATGGCTCTGTGGAAGTGATGATCACAGCCCTGCTGTCGGAGCCACGGGGGCAGTCAGATGGCGGAGACACAGGAATATATCAGGAATGCAGATGTTCACAAGACTGAAGAGATGCTGCCCTGGGTTCCTACTGCTTGCAGACAGAGCCAGTTAGCGTCCAAGACCTATTCCATCACTGGTCACAGCAACCCCCCAGCTCAACATGAGTGATTCAACAGTGTCTCCAGGTTCTGGGGATTTCTCGATATATTTCTACCCCAGTACCCCAGATTGTAACGCTCGGAGGCCAGGCTCAGTCGAATGGGCTCAGTGGCCAGTGTGTCCATGAATGTAAAAGACAGGTGCTGAGTCAAGGGCCGATAATACACGCTGCAGTCAAACACAGCATCAGTGACACTCAAGGCTGCCACAGTGGGTCAGAGCCTGTGGAGCTTGGGGCTCCCACAGAGAACACCCCCAAACTGCCAGGAGCCCAGTGCAGGGATCAGGGCAACAGTGGGAGAGAAACCGTGCGTCAGAGAGGAACGGCCAGCTCCTGGCACGCATGAGCTGGGGACAGCAGACCTGGCCACGTGTGTACAGGAGTGTGGGACGATGCCATGGCCGCCCAGCACAGCCTGTGCTTGATCGGGACGGGGTACGGAGTTTGCAACAGTGACAGGCCTGCGATCCTGCTGCACGTAACTACTGTATGAAAATGAATCCTCTTAGTGGGATGAAATCCCAGCTAGATCAGCGAAGCCCTGCCTCCTACGCACTGCTCTCAGCTCAGCTGGTCCAGGATTCCAGCAGGGCTGGTAAGAGCACTCTCACACTCTCACACAACCAGCCCCCAGCGCTGCCCGCGAACCACACAGGGGGTCAAACGCATTTGTTTTGTGTCTAATTAGGTCTGGAGTGAAGACTCTTATCAAGCGCTGTTGGCACTTAATCGGGAAATAACACAGAGAAACACATTATTACTTTGAACACTTCAGAGCTGAAAAAAAACGAATTATCCAGCTCCTGAATCTACACACACAAAAGCTCTAGCTGTCTGGACTGCAGTCAGACTCTCACAGTCGGAGTTATCGGATCAGTAGAACAATGTATATTGATCAAGGCCTGGAATAGTAGCCGACACTGCCTCTCTCTCCCAGACCCTCAGGTCTAACCCACTGTCTCTCTCTCTCCCAGTCCCTCAGCTCTCACCACTAGCCCACACTGCCTCCCTCTCTCCCAGTGCCTCAGCTCTAACCACCAGCCCACACTGCCTCTCTCTCTCTCCCAGTGTCTCAGCTCTAACCACTAGCCCACACTGCCTCTCTCTCTCCCAGTGCCTCAGCTCTAACCACTAGCCCACACTGCCTCTCTCTCTCTCTCTCTCCCAGTGCCTCAGCTCTAACCACTAGCCCACACTGCCTCTCTCTCTCTCTGTCTCTCTCTTTCTCTCTCTCCCAGTCCCTCAGCTCTAGCCACTAGCCCACACTCTCTCCCAGTCCCATAGAAATTCAATGTTGTGACAGACATTACAATAACAGTGTGTAGACACACTCAGTGCAATGACATCTTTGTTAGTCAGTGTGTAACATTTTGAGAGGTGGCAGCAGCTTGCTTCTGAGAGTGGTGCTGCACACTGGCTGACACACGT